CTTTAAACCATGTTCGAATCGTGGAAATTTTGGAAGATCACAGGGTTGCTTTTAGCATTTAGATTCTTAATGCAAAAATGGAGTTGCATTTAGTTGCATTTAGGTGACGAATTTTGTATGGATAAATGTACATTTAGAGTAGCATTTAGGGCTAAATGCGCTAAATGTGCTTTTACGCGTAAGCAAAAACAGCCCATAACCTAAAAATAAATGAACAGAGAACGTAAATTTACGTATACTTTACGTTCTCTGAAATGAATTCAATAGCCGAAAACACACGACTAGGATCTGCATGCATTAAACTGTCGTTTGTGGGAGTGAATGATGAACAGTTATACCTACATGTTATTTGCTGCAGTACAATGCAAGTATAACCAGCGCTTAACATATGATACTGAGGCCCAATTTCCGTCAATTAGTACAAGCAAGTGTCTGTTTGCAAATAAGTTTATGAAATTTGGTTTAAAAAAAAGGTAAAAAATTATGACAGGTGAGTACCCAAAGCTGGAAGGAATTGAAAATGTATCGCCGTCACCATTACGCTGCAGCGCAATAGTCTAAAATTATATAAATATGGCAGCATCGTTCACTAATGTCAACATTACAATCGTGACATTCCAGCCGACAGTCAAATTTTGTTTTCGTACACAAATTTTTCGTTTGACTTGAGTTATACGTTCTTATAGGATATATAAAGCACTACAGATAGAAGTAGGTACTAATTACCACTTGAAGCTAGCAAGTATTACATTAATAATTTTTTATTATTTATGTACATGAAAGTAGATTTTCAATTAATAGCCGCGCTTTCGTACAGCCCACAATTACAAAAACAACATAACGACAACAATAAACGTCAACTTCCGTTTGTGTGTAAGCTGAACTTTGCCTGCTCTCTGCCCCGGTTCCGCTGCAATTCCTACTTTCTGATAAATAAAAAACACAAGTAAAAGTAAAAATGTCTCAACCTGTTGCATTCCTCACGCGCAAAGAAACATTCAGTGCTTGTCATCGTTTGCACAGGTAAGGAAATTAATAAATAAATAAATGTACATATGTATGTATAGCGTTATGTTGTAAATGCTTGTGTACTTGAGTAGCGTTCGGGTGCTGACCTTAAAGCTGTCTTCGACGTCTACGTTCTTTTGGGTGTGATTAAAAATTTAACCTTGATAAGAAGTTGGGTTGTTGTTGTAGCTTATGTATAATGCGGCATTTCCTTTATTCTTTAAACGACAAGGAATTTTTTGATGAGACTAAATAAGAATATTGACTTGCTAGTATCGGAACTATTTCTGCACGTTTATTTGCCAAAAGTTTTCAACAGCTCGGCGCCAGTGAGCCATCCGAAATCGTATGCTGCGAATGCTGCATTATACTAAAGCCAGCCTTTCGACATAAGCTACTGTTCCATACGAACACATGTAAAGATTAAATTAAAGATTTTTATGATATACATATGTAAATAAGAGGGATCCACAGCGCAAATGAAATTGCAGTGGCCATCGAAGACAATGAATCTCAAAAATGTTGATTTGAAAATGTCGGTGAATCAAGGGATTTTCCCAAATATTCGCCATCTTTTCATCTATATAACTTTTTTATGCTCTTACATTCCGGTATATGTACTTTGGGGAGGTCCTTAAAAATCAAATGAACGATTTTTTTCAGTCTCACCCCTTCAATCGGTAATACCACGGTCACAAATATCACACAGGGGCCAAAATTCAGATTCCTCTATACAGACTCAAAAAATTAAACATAAAATTCTTTGCCAACTCATACCCAAAATCGATACTACCGTAGTAGAAAATATCACATATAAATTTTGTTCCCGATTGTAAGCCAGTTAAGGCGTGTTGCAATGGGGTCCAAGGCCAGATGCTCCATGGAGACTCAAAAAACTAAAAATATTTTTTTTAATTTAATACCCAACATCGATACTACTAAAGTCGAAGATATCACATACAAATTTTGGTCCTGATTGGAGTCGGTTAAGACGTCTTCATAGGGTGATCTGAATTTTGTCCCCTGTGCGCCACGCCTTAACCGAGTCCATTCGGGTCTAAAATTTATATGTGATATCTTCGACTATAGTAGTATCGATTTAGGGTATTAGATAAAAATAATAATAATTTTAATTTTTGGAGTTTCTTTAGAGGAATCTGAACTTTGCCCCCTGTGCGACACGCTTTAACCCTCTCCAATCGGGGCCAAAATTTATATGTGATATCTTCGACTATAGTAGCATCGACGTAGGGGTTGAGGCTTGGGAAATCGGATGTAAAAATTTGCTTCCTACATTTAAGGACCACCCTAATTCACATACATGTCTGTGCCGTTCAATTAAAGTAGCTTAAGTGACTCTAGAAGATTTGACTTTGAATTCAAAACAAATCAGTTTCCCAATGTTATTGTAGGCTTGGTTGATCTATCATGTGCAAGTGCAAGTGAAAACTCTCGGTTTCTTGCACTTGCCAATGATAGATCAACCAACCCTACAATAACATTGAGAATCTATACCATATTGATCAGCATACAAAAGAAGAAAATCAGTTTCCCCCTAACCTTTTTTGATATTTTTTTAAGCTTCTATTAAAAGGGCATCTTGAACTACGCCTATGGCTAGTTAAACGTTAAAATATTGTTTAGGAACCCAAGAAAATTATGCTTTAAAAGGAAAAGGGCCTATCCCTACTTAGGCTACCTTAATTGATTGGCACAGATATGTACATAAGTATGTATGTGGATATGACTTTCGACGATGAAAGCGAAGCAAAAACTTTATATTGGCTTTCTTTGAAATTTTACATATTCTGAGCGAAAAAGTGTATTATTAATAAAGGAATATTTCTTTAATCATCAAAAATTAAGGAAAAGAGTTATGTTCGACTCTGCAAAATTAATTTTAAGCATTTACATAGGTAAAAGCGTTTTATAAAGGCACAGTATTGTAAAATTTATTCTTTAAACTTAAGGTTATTAGGTTATTTATAATTATTGGACTTATGTATTTTGCCTTAGATTTTACGGAAAACAAAAGCTTTGCTGTAAAACTATGTAATAAAAGCGATTTAATTGAATATAACCCACTTTTCCCCCTATACACCTATACAGTAAGACTCTACATAAATATGTATGTTAGATACATATATACATATGTACATATTTACATGTTTATAAATACATATTCGATTGCAAACTAACCACAAAATGCGGTAAAATATTTTATAAAGCCTTGTGTGCACAATTATGGTTTAAATAACGTGCATTGCTAGGTCATCGTTCGCTGGTTTGAGGTAGACCTTCGTGGGATAAATATGCATTCAATATTTTAATGGGAATAGGGTTATTAAAAGTAAACCCCGCTGGCATTCAGCTTAGCAGAGTGGTTAGATGTGCGGACTATTACTCGGTAGTACATATATTCGATCCTGGGTCCGAAAACGATAGGACGAAAGGTTTTGTATCACCGTTAGCTTCTCGTTACGATGTGGCAAACTTCCGAGTGTACTTCTACTAAAAAGCGTCTGTTGATCCATCCGATCGGATTGTTTTATAAAATTTTTGAAAGGATACTCTGATCTTATTCGATTGGACGCAAATAAAACCAGTTAATTTATTTATTAGCCGGAAAAGATTATTTTTAAAGTCGTGAGTCAGTTGGATTCTATACTTCTAAGGTATTTAAAGCGTACAAATATAAGTAAATGTACATGCATATGTATGTGCTATTGAACTTTAAACTTGCATACAAGGACTAGGAAAACTTATTACAAATAAAAAACCTTATAATTAAAACATGATTTTCCTTCCCTTTTCTCCAGCCCACAACTAAATGATGCCGAAAATGCTGAAGTCTTTGGCAAGTGCAATCATATAAATGGACATGGACACAATTACACTGGTAACTGAATATATAAATATGTATATCGAAATTATTTAGTTTTGGGGCAGAATCATTCAGTCAGTGTCTAGAATTGGTATTTGTCAGCTATTTTTTAGCTGTTGTAAAGCTAAAAATCCATTATTTTTTGTATCAAAAGCTGATTTTTGTACATCTGTATTATAACAACTGCTTACATGAAGAATGTATGTATGTAAATTAATATGTCGCCTATAGAAAACTACTGAACAGTATTAATTTTTCTGATTTTAAAATAATATATTTTGTATTTTGTGAAAAATGTTCATGCAAATTTAGATATTAGCAAAATCAAAGCATTTGATCGACATACTAAAAAAAATCGTAATATCCTTTCCTAGAAAAAATACTTTGCCATATTAAACCGCGAAAAGTTATTTTAACTTTGGTATTAATTTCTCAATCAATTGCCTTACGAAACAAGGGTTTACTTAAGCGTCGCCAAAAAAATCCTTTAAAATCATATATTTTATAACTTAAGTATATGTATAATATCCAAACACTAATATATGTATGTGTAAACACCAATCTATTATTATTATTATCTTTACAGTTGAGGTGACAGTACGTGGTCCCATTGATATAAGCACAGGCATGGTAATGAACATTACTGAATTGAAGACTGCATTGGATAAGGTGGTTTTCAAGAATTTGGATCATAAAAATTTGGATAAAGATGTTGATTTCTTCAAGAATACTGTAAGTTTGTGATGCATTTACTATCATATTTTCACAAATCTACTTTACATTAGCCTAGCACTACCGAAAATGTCTGCGTTTACATTTGGGATAATGTGAGACAAAATTTGCAACGTCCAGAATTATTGTACGAAGTAAAGGTATACGAAACTGATAAAAATGCTGTATCATATCGCGGACCATACCATCAGAATGGCTACTATCCAAATATTCAGAGCAAACGTTCAGCTAAAACTTCATGCACCAACATTTCTTCAGATTCTGACTAATGATTGACTATGACTTTCTACTATATCGTATGAAGATGTTATGATTATGAATTTATTAAAAGTTAGTTAAGAGAATATGTATCGTATAAATAAATGAGTAGTGAATTTTTCGTAAGTCTATTTTCGTTGTGCTACTATTTAATCAAGTGTATAATCAATAATGATAGCCCATTGTTAGGGTTGATTTTAAATTAATTTCAATTGCCTGATTAACTTCAAAGGATTGCTTTTATTTACAGTAAATAGGCTGCTGGAGCCAATTATTTCAATAGTTTTAATTTAGTCAACACGTAAATGTTTACTAAATAGATTTATGCACTCAATAGAAAATCATAACTAGCCAGTGGATGAGCTTGATAGCTTTCGTTGTTAAACACAATGCGCTCATTATTTGCTAGTAATCGCTATCAGTTTGTCAATTTGGACTATTGATATTATTTTAGAAGTAGCTCAACGAAAGTTACTGTAATTTATGGATTGTTTAAATGTTTACTAAATAGATAGATAGATAGATAGAAGTAGATCAACGAGAGTTACTGTAATTTATGGATGGTTTAGATCAGAGCAGGCTAGAGCAATATGCAAATGTCGTGGTCGTATACTATATGTACACCGGGTGTTACGAAAATAGAGGCATTCCCATGAAAGCCATATCTGCGCCCCGAATGAGGCTGCTGTTTCGGCGATCTAGGCTCGTTTAGATAGGCAAATCCTATCAATAGGTTTTCATCCCTAGAACAACGCCCTGCAGCAGCGTTGTTCCGCAACCTTCCTCTCCAGGCTGACATTGAGCCCAAACCTGGACCAGAACTCTACTTCTGCTGCGTTTGCCAGAGGCGGCTCCATCTGAACTCTACTTCGGTTAGGTAACCACCTACAACGGATGTAGTTACCTAAGGTTCTGCATTCCCACGACAGCCGGTTCTACGTACCGGAATGACTCGGGTTTTACCCGGCCAAGGGCTGTTGTTTCGGCGATCTAACCCCGTTTAGGTCGGTGAAATCTATCAAACGTTGCTCGATTCTAGGGCTACACCTTCTCCGCACCCTTCTGCTCAGGGCTGACATAGAGTCAAACCCAGGGCCAGAAATCTACACCTGCTGTGTATGCCAGAGACGACTGCATACAAACTCTACCTCGGTCAGGTGTAATGCCTGTGACGGGTGGAGTCACCTCCGTAACTGCTCGGGCCTACGTACGCACCGGCAATGGACCACGTCGTTCGTGGCCCCATGCTGTGCGAACCGGACCGCCTCCACGGCAAACCACCACCCGCCTGGGCAGCACACAATCAACACACCCACACCCCAACACAATACAACAATAGACACACAAACAAACACAATAGCACCCACACACCGCCGCCGGCAACTCCTAGTCCCTCCGACAATCTGCTCTGTTTGTCAGTCCAGAATATACCGTAACGTGACATCAGTCAAGTGCAACTCTTGCCTCGGCTGGTGCCACTTTAGGGCGCGCTCAGGACTTCCCAACACGCGAGATTGGACGAGTGACTATGTGGGCCCCCGCCGTGCTGCCCCGTCGCCTGTCAAATGATCGTAGGGGAATACATCTGGCTGAGCAGATAGACGGTTCGACATTCTGCATAATGAACGACGACGTACCCACCTGGATTATGGGCAGCTGCTGCAGCTCGCCAGATCTAACAATTGTCAGCGCTGCTCTGATAAACAGCGTATCATGGCGACCTATGCTGACTCTAGCATCAGACCATCTGCCCATAGTCATCTCGATTGATAAACCTGCCGACTTTGCTTCCGTGGATCACCGGACTTATGTCAACTTTTCCAAAGCTGACTGGAAAGGCTTCACGGATGTTACTGAGGGCGCCTTCACTGCACTACCCATACCAACCGACGTTCATGTAGGTGAACGTAAGTTCCGCAGGGTTGTCACCGCTGCTGCAGCTCGCTTCATCCCAGCAGGATGTATTAAGGATCCACGTCCGAATTTTCCTGCCGAAGCGGCTGTTCTAGCTGATGAGCGCGACAACCTTCGTCAGGCCGATCCCGGAAATCCCTGTATTAGAGATCTCAATTCGCAGAATCGGCAACTTGTGAACGTACATAAGCGGAAGGAATGGGAAGAGCATCTGAAGACCTGCAACTTCGCCTCTGGTGTGAGCAAGCTTTGGTCAACCGTGAGGTCGTTGTCCAACCCGACGAAGCGCGACGATAGAGTCGAGATAGACTTTGGTGAAAACGCTTCGTCGGACCCAGAGAGATGCGCGAGCTATTTTAGCCGGCAGTTCATTCGGCATCCTCCGGTGGATAAAGCCAAACGTCGAGTGACCAGAAGGCTGCACAAAATACCAAAACCTAGTGCGCCTCTTCTTTTCACCAGCGGTGAGGTAAGGGTAGCCATCGGGAAGGCGAAAACCTCCAAAGCCATTGGACCCGACGGAATATGCATGTTGATGCTGAAAAATTTGGGTCCTGCGGGAGTAGCGCACCTAACGGAGGTCCTCAACCTGTCTATGGCCACTCTCGTCATTCCAGACATCTGGAAAATGGGGAGAGTGGTCCCACTGCTCAAACCGGGGAAACCAGCCAACAAAAGAGAGTCTTATCGCCCGATAACTCTCCTTTCCCCGGTAGCGAAGACACTCGAGGCCCTGCTGCTCCCGTACTTCACGAACCACCTGACCCCAGCGAAGCATCAACATGGGTTCCGTAAAGTGCATAGTACAACAACAGCACTTAACGCCATAAACACTCAGATAACTCGTGGCCTAAACCGAAACCGCCCCTGTGAGAGAACTATTCTAGTAGCGTTGGACCTGTCCAAGGCGTTCGACACTGTCAGTCATTCAACGCTACTAGAAGATATAGAGGCCTCCTCAATCCCACAGGGAAGTCGACACTCGTCAGTAATTTTCAGAGACAAAACTAGCAAGCCACTTAAGATTAAACAGGATGTACCACAGGGTGGTGTCCTGTCCCCGCTACTGTTTAATTAGTACATATCAAAGCTTCCTCAGCCACCAGAGGGTGTTAATATAGTCTCCTATGCTGACGATTGTTCGATCATGGCGTCTGGGAATGGAATTGATGACTTGTGCTCGAAAGTAAACGGTTACCTCTCCGAACTTTCTCGCTTCTTCACTGCAAGGAGCCTTGCCCTATCCCCTGCGAAATCCTCGGCAACCCTTTTCACCACCTGGACGAAGGAGGTCAGACTGCAACTGGGTATTCACGTCGATGGCGTAACAATACCGACGGTGAATAACCCGAAAATCCTCGGAGTTACCTTCGACAGTCTGCTCTCCTTCTCGGCGCATACAACCGCAATTGTCAACAAAGTACAGAGCCGCAACAATGTCCTCAAGTCGCTGGCCGGCAGAACTTGGGGCAAAGATAAAGAAACGTTGTTGGCAACATACAAGGCAATTGGACGGCCGGTTCTAAACTATGCAGCGCCCGTATGGTCGCCGGGGACTAGCAGGACGCAGTGGATGAAGCTACAGACCTGCCAAAACACGGTATTACGAACTGCGACAGGATGCCTCCAGATGACGCCCCAACACCACCTACATGACGAGGCCCAGATGCTCCCAGTAAAGGAGCATAACATAATGCTCTGCAAGCAGTTCCTTGCTGGGAGCCACAGACGTGGCCATCCCAGCGGACAGCTGCTCGCGGAAGAGCCCTCGCTACGGCACGTCAGGAGGCATCTTTACGAACTTACGGGCGAAGTCCAGAGGTTTATCAAACAACCCCTGAACCCGTCGACCTACCGACAGGCCCTGGACGGCATTCACAGGGAATCAGTCTCAAGTTATGTAGACTCCCGCCCTGTGAATGCCGTTCTAGGCACATAACCACCGGACGTGGACGAGACAGAACTTTGTCTGCCTCGGGAGACCCGCTCTACAATAGCCCAACTTCGCTCTGGCTATTGCAGCAGGCTCAACAGCTACCTAAGCAGAATCAACGAGGATGTGCCCAACCAATGTCCGGCATGTGGAGAGTCACCACATGACTCCCGGCACCTCCTCACATGCCCTGAGAACCCCACTCAGCTAACGCCCCTGTCCCTATGGACAGCCCCTGTGGAAGTAGCACACTTCCTGGGCCTCCCCCTAGCTGAAATTGACGACAACGTTGATGGATGAACCGCCCCGAACGGGGCTTAGTAGCCGCTACAACAACAACAACAACAACAACAAAGACCTAAGGTTCTGTTCTGGTCTTAGGTTACTTAGGGAGTGGACCACAAATTAAGTGGTTCCTTGTTGCTCAAGCCTTAAGAAATAATTTCACAAAAACGCGCAACCCGCTTGTTTGCACCCGCATGTAAAGATCCCCATCTGCTTTACAGAGCTCACGTGGCCAACTAACCAACTCCCCCACTCCACCTGCCATCGCTCTAGCTCGTGTGTGAGGGCCAGGGAAGCCAACTCCCCCGATTTGTGGGGAATTTCAGTTTACGTGCAGAATCGGGAGAATTCTAGAATTGTGTGGGCTACAAAACTGCATACTCAAAATCTAATTAAAAAGCTCGAAATTTTAACGAAGGTTTGTAGATTTTTTTTTAATATTACATAAAGTTTGAAACTTGAATTTATACAATTTTTGTTAAAGAATACCCTATATTTTAATTTAAAAAAAATGCATCAAATTAATAACAAAAATCTTACTAATATTATAAATGTGAAAGTTTGTCTGTTTGGATGTTTGGGAAATCATCACGCGGAAACGACTGAATGGATTTGCATGAAAATTTGCACACAGATAGCTTATGACCTACAGTGGAAAATAGGCTACTTTTCTTAAGAGTTGCCCCCTGTTAAAAAAGTTTCATTAAATTAATACGCGGAAACGACTGAATGGATTTGCATGAAATTTTGAAAACAGATAGCTTATGACCAGGGAACCGATTTTATGGAAATTGCCTTTTTTTCTGCTAAAGGAATAGAGCATATTCGATTAAGAATGTCCACGATTTAGCTTTCCCTGATTCCATATATACACATTTGATGTTGCCTTTTTTAAGATATTTGCCTTTTTTTGCCTTTTCTACCCTTAAAAAAGTGATTATAGCATTTACAATTTTTTTTAAAGAATACAAAATATACACATGCCCATGCGGCTTATAG